GAAAATTTAACGTTTTGCTTTAGGGTTAGGGTTAGGGTTAGGGCTAAAAACTCCCTTTAGTTTTTTTCAACCAATACTTTCTAGGGGCTTCCTTAGGGTTAGGCCCCAATTGGGGTTTTTTTTTTTTTTTTTTTTTTTTTTCCCTTCCTAACTAACCCTTAAAGCTAACTTTTCTAATTACTTACTTTCCTCTTTACTTCCTAGCTTAAAGGAAAACTAAGGGTTAGGGTTATATACTTTTCCTTAATTTCTCTTATTTTTAACCCTAGCGTTAGGGTTATACGCTCTTCCTTCTTTTTCTTTCCTTTTATTCTCCGGCTAGGGCTATATACTTCCCCCTTTTTTTTTTCTTACCTTAGGGTTAGGGTTATATATATATATATCTTCTATTACCCTAGGGTTATCTTAAGAAGATTTTTTTTTTTCATTATTTTATTATTCAGATTTTTCATCTTTTTTTTTTTTTTTTTTTTTTTCTTTCCTTTATTTAAACATCTAATACTATTTTACTAATAATAACTAACCTTTTTTTTTATATTACCCTCCCTTTATCCTATTCTCCCCTCAGCAATTGCCATTATGGCTGCCTGCTATGCCGCGTTCACCTGGTCACCTTGCCGTGGTCTTCGTAATACCCTCATATGCCAGCCCCATCTCGACCTTAGTAACTTTAAGAGCGAAAAGGCACTTCAGCTTAGTAGTCAGAGCGATCCCTCTGACTAAGGGACAGACCCGGGTTCGAGTCTCGGAAGCATCTAGCCAGCCCAGCCTCAAAGAGCTTTTTTTGCTAATTATAATAATATTACTTTTGCCTACCCTGGACTACCATCTCTTTCTCTTTTTCGTCTTTCTTCTACTTCTTTTATTTCTACCTCCTCTTATATTATTTATACTATATCCTATGAGCATTCTAATCATATAGCTAAAGCCAGCTATTATCACTAAGTCCTATTCGTATATATATTTACCGTTAAGTATTATATGGGTAATATACCTACTATGGGAGCTCCCCCCCTTCCCTCTCTCTCTCACATACACACACTCCTTTCCCCCCCTATTATTACCTATCATATCACATCATATATCATTATATATAACTAGTCAAACGTATTACACTATGCGTAAAACATAGTAATTAACTAAGCCCTTAAGTTTTTCTCCACTTAAGCACTAGATCAAAGACGGCCATAGCATTAGTCATCTCTCGCCCGCATACTAACTTGCTATGCTTACGGCCCAGCCAGTCAGCATAGTCATCCCGACCTTTGAAGTCTCGACCGGCAGCCTCCTAGACTTGCGACCATATATCTGCCTCCGTCACGGCGGCCAACGCCACAGGGACTACAGCATGCTTCCACCGACATAATGCTCCTTTAGTCTCATAACCGTCCCGACAGAGCTCCTGCGATACATGACAGTAGAAGCAGCTCAAGAAACGTACCTATGGATCCTTCTTGTAGTTAACCAGACCCTAAAAGTTCATGCAGCTAGAGAAGGACAGATCCTTCTCTGCTATGGCACCACAGGTACCCCACTAGTGCCCGGCCTCCTTGACGCCATCGAACATCCAGCAGATGCGGCAGCCCATCTTACCAAGCTCCTCTATCTCCTCCAAGGCGGCCTCGAAACATTCTAGAGCGAGGGCATCGCGCCTACCGCGGGCATGTGATACTATAATACCCTGCGAGGATAGCTCACTCTTCCATAACAGCTCATCGCGGCGGCAATTATCGCATCAGACGGCATCGATATCTCCACAGTCCCATAGGTCACCGTCCAAGCATTGGCCCAGGAGGCAGCGACGGCAACCTTATATCCGGATTAGCCTATATACCTCGCGCGTACTCAAGTCTAGGTAGCTATCGCGGATATAGTCCTCAACCGGCCAGTCCTTCTCCTCGACGACTATCTCTGCGGTGACGGGCTCCCCAGCTCGCCCGCCCCGCCCCGCCTCCTAGGCGTAGTCGATGATGCTAAATAGGGCCTCGAGATGGATAACATAGACGATACCTACAACATCAAGGCCCATGCCTAGAGCCGCGGTAGCCACGATATAGGGTATTTCGCCATTGACCCATACCTAGAAGCCCTACTCGCGCTAGGCAAGGAACTGCGCATCGCTATCATCGCGCTGAGCGTGATAGTAATGGCAACCAAGCTGCCGGGCAAGCGCTCTACACTTCGCGTGGCTGGTGCAGTATATGACCCCCTTCTCCCCCGGTGCTAGACGTGGGAGCCGGGCGTCCACCAGCCTCTTCACCTCCATAACGCCCCGTCCGTTACGGACGCGAAGGACGGAGTACCGCACGTTCAGCCGATAGCTCGAAGCCCGTATGTAGAGCGGAGCCTAGAGCTACATAGCTTCTTCCAAGTCGCGTTGACGGAGCGGCGGCAGGGTCCCAGTGAGGAATACGAAGGGACACCCCAAGCTCCGCAGGAGAACGAGGCACCGGAGCTTCGCGCGGTAGGTTTCGGCGGCAGTGAATGACAGATAGCACTCGTCAATGACCACTCGGTCCAGCCTTCCCCTAACACTCAGATCAGCGGCCCATTACAGGAAGTCATCGGTGACAGCCGCCTCGGCCGAGACCAACGTAACCCTGGGCCAAGATTCACGCGCCTCGGGCCAGGACTTGCAGTCTAGGCCGGCATCGACGCAGCGTGTGACCAGCTGCCTCTTCAACTCGGCGAACGGAGCCACCACGATGGTCACGCCTGCACCTGCTAGCATAGCCGGGACCATAAAGACCAAGCTCTTCCCGCCGCCCGTTAGCAGCACGGCAACCAGCGGGCTCTGCTTCGCCGCGGCCAACCTGACGGCCTCTTCTTGCTGGGGTGACCGAAACTAGGCAGCGTCATCACGCAGGACAGCCCGGAGTGCCCGCAAGATCATGTCGTCCTTCTTCTTATCCCCCACTGCTGCTGTCATACCTGCCCTTAGCGTCTCGAGCGAGGCGATCTTAGCCCGCTTCCGGGGAGGGTAGCACTTCTTCTCCTCGCCGCCAGACTCGGCCGCACCCTTGCGCTTCGAGGACGAAGTTAACAGCGGCGGCTCCAAGGCCGATTGCTGCTGCGCGTCGCAGCCGAGGAACTTGTGCCAACGACGGCTCACCTGCCCGAATATGTCCAGAGACTCGGCCGTCAAGCGCTTCAGCACATCGATCGTGACACCATAGTTGGCGGCTATCTGGCCGGTGTGACAGGCAGCCAGATCGTCCGGCGCCTCGTACTACTCCGACTCGTCATCGTCGTCGCCGTCCTCAAAGTCTGCCCGAGCGGCCCCCCGGTCGCGAGCATGCTTCTTGCTGATAGCGATAGCGATATGGCGCCAGTCTTAGAGCGTGATCCTACGGCCGATATAGTAGGAGGTCCACTTCCCCATGGCCCCAGACATACGACTGCTCTCCCATGGCCCCGTCTCGTTATGCCAGATAAAGTCGCTCGGCGGTGCCATCTTGCCATATAGCTCCCATCTATCCGCCTCCCAGCGATCCGTCAGCGGTCGGATGTAGACCATGTACATCACGAGCAGCTACCCGATCCTCTCCGGCAGGAAGCGGGGGATCACCTTCGGCGAGTCGAAGTGGGCCAGAGACTTATGGTACTAGGTGACGAGCACAACATCGCCGTCGATGACAAAGACGTTGCGGTCCCTATTGATGCCGTTGACCAGGCGCAGGCCCGTGATCTCTTCCCCTCGGCTAGGCTAGCCGCCGGTGATGTGGGAGAGGAGCAGCAGAAACTCCTCGAACTTCTTCACCAGCTTCAGGTACTTCCTAATGCCCGCCCACTTCCACTCGCCCGCTCGATCTAAGAACTCTATCTTCCGCGAGCCCATGACGAGGTCCTCGAGCATCTCGACCTCCTTGCCAGCGAGGTCGTTAGTATAGATGAAGGACCGGCCTCGTCTTGTATGGGTGAGATCATCCTCAATGCCGTCCAGAGGAAGGATGAAACGCTCGTCGTCGCCCTCCTTGAACATCAACTAACCCCACAGCAGGTCCTCGGCGTCTTTCGTCATCCTAGCCACCATATAACGAATCTTCTCCATCAGGATCGGCTTGCCCATGAAGTACATCATCTCGCCGTCCTTGCTCCAGGACACCATCAGCCGGCTACCAGTCTCCTACGCGATCTTCCTTCCGTATAACAGCAAGCTAAGCGTATAGCCCATGGGAGAGTATGTCGCCTTGCAAAGCCAGGCGTCTCGAACCTGGGCGAACCGTTGCGCGAGGTCCGTCATCCCGGCCCGCTCCCGGGTGGGTATAGCCCACTCTCCCAGCAGCGCCCGCCCCGTGAAGACGAGTCCCACAAGCACATAGGTGAATAGGTGGGCAGGTCGGAGCTGCCCCGTCTCGCCGTCGATTCCCAGCACCCCGACGAAGTGCCACAGCGGGCTCGCAAAAGGGTCCCCGTCGAGCCGCTGCATCCAGAAGTCCGCCAGAATCTGCAATATCTCTTCCTGCAGCCCCTCGCCCGACTGTTCCTCGTCCTGCAGATGCGCCCAGAGCAGCTCGAGGCTGGCCCTCTGTGCATGCGTGAAGCGAAAGCCGTGTTCGGCAAACAGCGCATCCTCCTCCAGCGAGAGCACGTTAAGGCAATAGCATAAGAACCGCTTCACATATACCAGGTAGCGATCCATGCTGGTCTTCTCCTGCAGCGGCCTAAACGGTCGGCTGTGCGCATCGTGAGGGTGGGGGCTAGCTAGGAGCAGGCGGGTCATCAGGGGCATACTCTTTAACCCGCCGATGCAGCGGTCGAAGAATAGGCGATCTAGAGCCGTGGCCATCCATCGCAGCTCGTCGTCGTCACGGCCGGCCATCCTGCTGCAGGCTTAGATATCCACCAGATTCCTCCCGGCGAAATGGGCTGACCAGCCGGTCCTCTTCAGCCAGTTCGTCGTCTCATGCCTCAGGATCCCTTCCTCCATGACCTTCTGCATCTTCTCCTGCTCCTCCTACTGCAATGACCACCCTTAGGTAATATCGGCGATCATCATCTGATCTTCCGGGTGCGTCTACTGCCTATCGGCCATCATCGCTCTTCTCCCCCTGCCCACCGGCGTCAGAGGATCTCCTGCTGCCGAGACAGCATCGCTGCCGCCGATAGAGACGCCAACGCAGAAGTAATAAATCGCCCTCTTTGGTCCTATAAAGAAGGTCTACAGATAGACGCTGGTCCAGAGGTCCGCCCGCGCCCTGGCTCCCTTCATGTCGTGCTCGTCGTTGAAGTGGACCCGTAGGCACTTCCAGCTCGGCGTGAGGTGCCTGCAGCCCGGCCAGGTGCAGGCAAAGCCCCGGTGAACAGTAAGACCCTTGACGGCCCGGGTCGGGTTTGACGCATCGTGCTGGACGAGCTGCTCCGATGCCGGTCCCTGCAGCTGTAGACCCTTATGGCGGCGGACGAGATCGCTGCGGGCCCGATGGTTGATGTCTGGGTGACGGTCCCTCAAGTGACCCTCGAGGTTGCGGACCGCATAGCCATGGAAGACGCAGATCAATGACTAGTACTCGCCGTTATATATAAGCCACTCTTCGCCCAGTTCGGTGCCTTCTGCATGATGATGATGATCATAATCATGATCATGATCATGACTGGCGGACTCTCTTGTGTCTCCCTGGTGCTCTGGCCCGTTGCTGCCGGGGGAGTCTATTAGACGCGCCCGGACCATCATAGTGGGTAGCTACTTTCACTAAGGCTCTCTCGAATGAATAGTAGCTGCTGGAATCTACTCTCTATCGTCATCACTTGCGCCTCCACCTAGCATATATTATTATTGCAGTTAGGTATATATCATAGACGCGCCATATAATGATAATAATAATGATGATGATGAGATTAAGCTTACTTACTCACCCAGTCGTGACAAAGGCTGGCCTCCCGAGACGCATTCTATTAGATTTCCCTCCTCTCTTTGCTTTTTCCTTAACCCTGAACTTACCCGTCCCTCACCCTGATTAGCTGCAGTATAAAATAGTAGTTTGGCACTGGTAGTTTAGCCCCCCTGTCCGCGTCCGGGACCCACCCCCGCGTGCATCCCTACATATTCATTGGTCCGTGCCCCTAACCCCAGATGGTAGTTTGGCCCAAACTACCACTGGCCTCCCGGTTAGGTTCCTTTAGAGGTTCTAGAGGTTCCTTTAGAGGTTCTAGAGGTTCCTTTAGAGGTTCTAGAGGTTCCTTTAGAGGTTCTAGAGGTTCCTTTAGAGGTTCTAGAGGTTCCTTTAGAGGTTCTAGAGGTTAGGGTCAGGCATTGGGTCAGCTATAGATAGAAGCCCTTCGGGCTTCTATAGAGATTCTAAGGTCTTCTATAGAGGTTAGGGTCATGGTTAGGGTCAGGCATTGGGTCAGGGTTAGGGTTAGGCATTGGGTCAGCTATAGATAGAAGCCCTTCGGGCTTCTATAGAGATTCTAAGGTCTTCTATAGAGGTTAGGGTCATGGTTAGGGTCAGGCATTGGGTCAGGGTTAGGGTCAGGCATTGGGTCAGCTATAGATAGAAGCCCTTCGGGCTTCTATAGAGATTCTAGAGCTTTCTATAGGGGTTAGGGTTAGGCATTGGGTCAGGCATTGGGTCAGGGTTAGGGTCAGGCATTGGGTCAGCTATAGATAGAAGCCCTTCGGGCTTCTATAGAGATTCTAAGGTCTTCTATAGAGGTTAGGGTCATGGTTAGGGTCAGGCATTGGGTCAGGGTTAGGGTCAGGCATTGGGTCAGCTATAGATAGAAGCCCTTCGGGCTTCTATAGAGATTCTAAGGTCTTCTATAGAGGTTAGGGTCATGGTTAGGGTCAGGCATTGGGTCAGGGTTAGGGTCAGGCATTGGGTCAGCTATAGATAGAAGCCCTTCGGGCTTCTATAGAGATTCTAGAGCTTTCTATAGGGGTTAGGGTTAGGCATTGGGTCAGGCATTGGGTCAGGGTTAGGGTCAGGCATTGGGTCAGCTATAGATAGAAGCCCTTCGGGCTTCTATAGAGATTCTAAGGTCTTCTATAGAGGTTAGGGTCATGGTTAGGGTCATACATTGGGTCAGGGTTAGGGTCAGGCATTGGGTCAGCTATAGATAGAAGCCCTCTGGGCTTCTATAGAGATTCTAGAGCCTTCTATAGGGGTTAGGGTCATATATTGGGTCAGGGTTAGGGTCAGGCTTTGGGTCAGCTATAGCCTCGGCCAAGGGCGTAAGGCAAGGTGACCCTCTCGGACCTCTTCTTTTTTCCCTTGCCTTTCGACCTACCCTAGAGGCCCTAGCTAGGAAGCTACCTAGGGCAACCTTAGTAGCTTACCTAGATGACCTCTATATACTTAATAAGGCTCCGCAAGGCACCTTAGAGGCAGCTAAGGAGGTCTTAAAAGGCTCCCCTTTTAGCCTTAACCTAGCTAAAAGCAAGGAAAAGGCTATAGAGGACCTTAAGCTAGAAGGCTTAAAAGCCTTAGGTACTTATATCGGCCCTATCCGGCCTAAAAGAACCTTCTTGCAAGAAAAGCTAGCTAC